TCATTTGAGGTTTATGCACATTGTAGGACGATTATTATTATTATTAGTAGTAGTAGTAGTAGTAGTAGTAGTAGTAGTAGTTGTTGTAGTAGTATTATCATTGTATTATATTATTATTATTATTTTTATTATTATTATTATTATTATTATTATTATTATTATTATTTATTTTATTTTGTCTGGTACTGTTGGCCTAAATTCAGAATTCCTAAATTCATGTACAGTATATTGTATAAGTAATCTGCTAATTAGCATGCATCAGCCCTTATAGCTACGGTATATAAACCATTTGTTATTTTATAAAGTATAGGCCTAGCCCTTATTGTTTATGCTAATAAAGTGTTTAAAGAAGGTTTATTGCAGGGACGACCGAGATATTCGTTTAGTAATAAACGTATTAATGTCACTAATTTTAACCTTTGTTATTTTTTCTAAAATGATGTGTTGTGCTCTTATTTATCTACCATTTATATCCATTACTAACATTGAAACACAAAAAGCGGTACTACTGCCATTTATTTATTTATTTTCATAGAAAATATCTCAAAATACCATCTTTAAAAACATTATTCATAAGAAGTTAACTAGATTTGTCGCTGGGCTAAAACATAACGTAACTACAGGATCAATACAAATAAAAAAAAAATTAAAATTAAAATAATAAGAGTCAAAAACACATAAGTATAAAAAATACAAAGCAGATACAGTAATAAATACAGTTATTGTAGAATAATAGGCCTATACATACAATAGGCATATACGCAGGATGAAATGTAACGTACTGTACGTAGTGACTGTTGTAGAGGTCAAGGTTGAATGCGTTTCTGGAGATGTGAAATCGTTACAGAACCTCAACGTCACCGCATTACCTTCCAAAGCACTGCGAAAAAACCTGTAAAAAAAAAATCATTTTTACCATATTTTGGATAATTACTGTACTAAAAGTTGGTTTCTATTGATTATCAAGTAGTTTTCTACTCTCGTGTGGTAATATTTTTATCATTTTGCACCCGTGTGGTCGCGAGTGGTCCCGAGTGGTCGCGAGTGGTTCCGCATGGTATTTAGTAGAACCGCATCTGTCAGCTACTGCACAACCGCTGTCAACTAAGGAAGCTAATCGCGCATGCTGATTGGGGTTTTTTTTTCACGACTCGTCGTAAAAATAGGTGCAGTGTTTTCTTTAGGCAGCCTAAAACTAAATTACGCTTGTTGGGTTGTGTACTAAAATATCTGTGAACATACAGCATACATGTACAACTAACTACTCATTAAGGGCCTACCTAGACAACACTGTAAAGTACAACTACAATGCAGTAATAGTCAAGGCAAAATGGATAGAGATTTTGGGATTTGTCTGCCCTTATGTAATTTGTTTTAATTAAGCATTGTGGGCTTTGTCAACAGACACCTTATGAAGTCAGCATAGACTACACCTGATGAAGCCAGCATAGACTGCTGACGAAAGCTTGTGTAATAGATAATTGAAGTTAGTCTATAAAATGTCACCAGTTAGTTTTTTTATTTCATCATTGAAAAAATATGTTATAATGTTTAATTAAATTCCATATTTTTTTGTTTACTGTTCATTCCTAGTTGCCTTTTATAACTGGGATCAAGACCAGCACAAAGTTTATATTCAGTTGTATGTGAACTCAAATGTAAATGTCAAGACGGATGTAAAAATCGATGTAAATGATTTAGAAATCACTGTTAAATACAAAGGTTTGTCAATTCAGTTAATTTATCAATTAATTCCAAATCACTTTTCTCAGTATTTTATCAGTGGATTTGGTTATAAAAACAAAGGCATGGGTAGAATATGGTAAGTAGTAAGTACCAGTACATTCCATAAAAACTATGGCACCCATCTCATTTTTTTGCCCAAATAATTGACCAGTAGTTAACAACATTCCAAAGCATCAAATTATGTAGTCCATAAAATTTGATTCACAGTTTAGAAAATGTGAAAACTGTGATTAATCTTCACACAACTCTATCAGTGGCAGATTCAGTGGGGGAAGAGCGAGCCTGCCTGGTCCCTCCTGAATTTTTCAAAAAATGGGGGGAAAAAATGAAAATATGAATGAAATTTATGTCTGACAGTGCCATTCCCGGCCATCTATAAGTGCCATAATCATAAATTTTCTTACCTTTTCCCAAACCATGGTGTGGCTGAGTTGGGAATTCCCCCCCCCCCCATTACAGTATTTCAAATTCCTGGATCTGCGACTGGCTATTAGACCTAGAATTATACTTAAAGAAAGCAAGTGTTATACTACCCAACGAAATCATGTGACTTGCATAACATGCCTTTCAAAATGATCTGTAAATAACAGCCTTTGATATTTCCAGATGAAATTGCATGGTGCTGCCAGTTCTATGCCAAAGTTGTTGAGGAGACATGTACAGTGCAGTTTAAAGATAATAAGATGGTGATTAGTATAGATAAGAAAAAAGCCAGTGAGGATTGGCATCAACTGCAGAACACACATGTTGATGTCAAGCAAGATAGTGATGAAGAATCTTCAGGTATTTTACCTTACAGCTCCATTCAACTATTATTATTATTATTATTATTATGATATTGAAAAGTAAGTGCTGCACCAAACCTGATTTTTTTGCTAAGCGCCTGTCTTGAATAATCGCAGTGGCGCTCAATCAGGAGAATATGTTACCCTGCGTGTAATGAAACACTTTGAGAAATAGGGTTTTAAATACAATGTATACAGTGTTAAATGAATAAGTAACACAATGAAGACACAAGCATTTCTTTATAAACGGTAATTTACGATGACGTAGGAACTATGATAGGCCTACTGAACTACAGGTGTATGTGAGATAAGTAACATTGGAATGGGCATGGAAAGCGCCACGGCAATATGTTTTTATAAGCGCCGCACTTGAATAAGCGCCGCTCTCGAATAAAGAATAAGCGCCACACTGAAGCCTCCAAAAATGTTATAACCGCTGTGGCACTTATTCGATAACTTACAGTAATCTTTATTTTATTTTGTCAGTGTATAATCATAATTACATATTTATTTATAAAAATTTTTTATACAAATAATGAATTTTTATGTAAAGAATATTTTTATTCATTGAAGGAGTCCCTGTTTCATTCAACGAGGCGGAGCCGAGTTGAATATAACAGTTAATCTTTCAATGAATGAAAATACCCTTCCTATTGCATGAATGCAAATATTTATTATTTGTTTTAAATTAAACACACCTAAAATAAATCCTTTTTATTTTTTGAAAAATAAAGTTAGGTCTGCCTTTCACCAGAATAGAACAGTCCATCTTCTTTCAAACAATGAAAGTATTGTATTAGATGGGACAACATAATGCACAGATGGAACTAAATTTTTGTGATGAATGCCGAAATGGTGTAAATAACCCATGTCACATGACACAAAATTTACCAATCAAATGACAAGGATCTATTTAGGTGTGTTAGAAAATATTCTATAAACCATCCAACCACTAATTAGTTACTCTAAGCTGGGTTATCCAATGCCAGTATAATCTGTTGTGTAATTCCAGAGAAGACTTTTATGTTACGTAAATTTTGATATCAAGGTACCTTAATGCTTCTTCTACTTCTCATATCTGTTAATTATTAATTAAATTATGGTATGTGAGTGTTAAATGGATCAGAAAGTTTTTGTTTTTAAGTATTGCTGAATAGAATTCTATAGTTACTAATTACTGTACATGCTTTATAAGTTCCATTATTTACTTACTAAGTGGTGGCGCTGTCCTGGAATTGAAGGGTTGAAACGCAGAACCATGGCATTGGAAGGCAACATTTTAACCACCAAGTTACACTTCTTTTATGATATTACATTGGATACTGATTGTTGGAATGTTTTCATTTTAGATTCCAATTTATTAAAGTATTTTCTTTTATATTTGTTTATGTTTGACTATAGATTCTTTGTTTGAGCTTGTGTTTTTGAAAAACGACTTCTATGAAGTAAGTAAATATTATTAATTACTTGTTCGGTTAAGTTTTTACACATTTAAAATGCACAGTATAAATATAAGTTCAATACAAAAGCACAGACACCTAAGCTAATTCATAAATACACAAAAAGAATACATGCAAGCAATGTGTTTATTTTGTTGATTTAAAAAATATAAATATTTGTTTTATTTTGAGTTGAGTTAAGAGGTGGCTTGTTGAAGGTCTTTAGTGCTGCAGCTCATGGTATTCTAATATTAACTTATGATTTACTGCAGCGTGAGAGTACGGTGACCGTTAGTTTATTCGTCAAGCAAATTCTTGAGGAGTCAGTAAAAGTGAAATTTGAACCCCACAACCTTGATGTCAAGTTCTCCACGAGGTAAGAAAGCCATGTCTTCAGAGTGCTACAGCTCATCTCAGTGAACTTCTAAGTTATCCTTGTCAATGTAATTTACGTTTACGTAGGTACATCCTGCAAAGGACTTAATGACACATAACCGCAGGTTAACAGCTGGCCTATATGGAATACCTGGGTAACCCCTACTCATCTCGAAAGATGTACTGGGTTATTTAAAGTACATGTGAGCCAGTTCTGTACACTGAGCCTACAGTTTATAGTCCTTATCCGAGATGGCTTGTTCCAGCACCAGAACCAAAGGTGAGCGTGCCGATCGAACCAGCGCCGACATTATGACTGTAGGTTGCGGCGCCCCTGCCTTGACCGCATGGCCAATCAACTCGTCCATATTTAAACTTTCGTTTTTTAAAAATAAATACAGTACTGTCTGTGTTAACTAATAAAATTCAATATTTCAATTGCTTGCTTTATATACAGTATTAGCTTTCAACAGAAATTAATTTTATCACGAATTACAGGTGCATAAGTCATCCAGCTCTTCTTAAATTTTGCTGGTAATCAATTTCAGGATTTTCGTAGTAACCAATTTTATAATCAAAAATTAATTGTTTTGATATGTGTCTTATTCAAAGTTAATAATTTATTTGATCATTGTAACAAGTTGTTCAATATTTACATTTGTTCAGAGTTTTTCAAATTTTGCCACAGACATAGATAGGATTAATTGTTGCATGGTATTAACTTTTCATTTATATGTCATTAATTTTACATTAAATTAATATTATTGTGCTGCTTATTGTTCTCCAACTTTTTGAATCCTTTTTGGCAATTTAATTACAAATCCAAATCATTATTTACATTAATGTTTATTTGAATTCCTGCTATTGTATTTGAGTTTTATTATTTTATCACTTTGTTTCTTGAGTTTTTCTGTAAGCTGTTGTTCTATTTTGGCAGAGATTGTAACTTCCTCAAATCACATGAGGGAACTTCAGAAGAAACAATATTTCACTGGAAAATCACACTCAGGTAAATAAATAATAGATGGCGGTAGCCACTGTTGTTGCTACAGTATGAACTATGTAGAGTACTGGTTCGAGTCCATCGCTGCTCCTCTTTTGTTTCAGCAAAATGGCTGAAATACTGTAAGTTACAGTTGCATTGACAATAAAATACAGATCTCAACGACCGTATATTATGTATCAGTGTATTAGTTTACATTATTATTTTTCGTATTAAAGTGTGTAGCTTATTGAATAGCTATCCAGACCACCTTGCCATTTTTGGGAAATCAGTTTATATATATAATATAGAATATTGCAAAGCTGCCTCTTTAGCTCAGTATTATCTGTACTACAATGTAATCAGTGTTTCTAAAACATCCACTTGGAAATATTTATAGAAAGTTGATAAGAGTGTTTTGTTAATACTGTATTGTATCATGTAAACTATGAATTTATAAATCTGTCAATTTGTCACACTATGAAATACACAGACATTCATGTTGTATATATTCCATAAAAATCTATAGCCACATAAAATCCAGTGCAAATATAATTGGTATGCATGCCATCAAAGCAATGTGTACATAACAGGCATGCAACATAGGTCAACACGCATGAAATAATGAATGGAATTGGAATTAAGAAGGGCTTTGTCTTATCATCACACTTAATCAAGCTTTCATGGAGACACACTCCTCGAATCCAAATGATGTTCATAGTAAAGCCATGCCTAGACATGCCAGCCACACCTAGATACAGAGATGTTCATAGTAAAGCCATGCCTAGACATGCCAGCCATACTTAGATACAGAGATGTTCATAGTAAAGCCATGCCTAGACATGCCAGCCACACCTAGATACAGAGATGTTCATAGTAAAGCCATGCCTAGACATGCCAACAACACCTAGATACAAAGACCACCCAGCTGGATAGTCATTATTAACTGTCTTAACCTTTTACAGCAAACTGTTTGTCTAATTTCCTTTCCTAATAGAAAACTAGTTTTTATTAATTATTTGATAATTTTCATTATAATTTTTGTTGATTTTAGCAATCCAGTTCTTCCCAAGAAGTGTACATATAAAGTAAAGTCAACACAATTAGAAATTAAACTGAACAAAGAGACTGATGTGAAATGGACGTCACTTGAGAAGCCACTTCTCAAATGTAAGTGTATTCTTAATTTTCTCTACTATTATATTTTTTGTATGTTTTTTTGTGTTTGTTCACACTGAACCTTCTTCAGCATCACAGAACGTCATCATTATTATTGATCATGAGTATCAGCATCATAACCATATTGCTCTCTGCTATTATATTTTTTGTATCAGCATCATAACCATATTGCTCTCTACTATTATATTTTTTGTATGTTTATTTGTGTTTGTTCACACTGAACCATCTTCAGCATCACAGAACGTCGTCATCATTATTATCATCATAATTGTCATAACTTCATCATCATCCATCCATCAATATCATCATCATTACCATCATCATAAGCATTGTCCTAAACATCAGCATTATTATTCTTTTCATGAGTATCAGCATCATAACCATTTGCTCTCTTGATCATTAATATTGTTTATAATCAGTTGAAATTCCTCTTTTACATTTATTTCATTTTTTATTAACTCTTGTATCCTACAATAAGAATGCCAACATAAAATGTGATTGCTTATGTTTCCATAGCAACTACTAAAGATGCTGGGCAGAAGGACAGCTGGCACTCTCTAGGGTCAACACCCTCAAAAATCAACAGAGGGGCAGCAGGTGGTGCTAAATCGATAACAGCCGTTGATGATGTCCAACCAAAGGTAGGGATTTAGGCAAATTAATGTTTTGTTTAAATTTACTTGAAGCATTACCAGACTTCACCGTCTTGCACTACTCTTTGAAGTCATATTTGTCGTGAGCCGCTTAGCTCAGTCCTCTACTGGTGGTAGCCACAGTGTGTACACTGAACCGTGGAGATCTTTTGTACCAGGTTCCATTCCATCCCCAACTCCCACTGTGTTTCAGCCGGAGGGCTGATATGCCAGTATAAAATAGTGTACTGTCTTTCAGAAGAAACCGTTTGTCTCATAATATGCAAAATGATCTCCATGTAGCTCACCATTCAATACATGCTGCTTACATTTAAAAGTTATGTGTTTGAATGGACCTGTCTTCTAGATTGTTTGCCAGTCTACAGTAGGTTATTATGCTACTTTTCCAATTATATTTATTTTTTTTGTTTTTCATATTATAACTATTTCTATTGCTTTCATTTTGGTAATCATTTTAGAAACCTACATGTGCAGTCCAGCCAATGTCATACCTAAACAAAGACGAGGACCACAATGCACCACACTACAAAATTGGATTTACTGGTCTTGACAACATGGGAAACACTTGCTTCATGAACAGTGTTCTACAAGTGTTGGCAAACACTAGAGAGTTAAGGGAATATGTTCTGAGTAAGTAGGCCTACAATCTTAAATCATATGTCGTGAGCAGCTTAGTGTTGTCGGCTAAACTGGTGGTAGCCACTGTGTTTGCGCTTAACCATGGATATTTATTCTAAACTTTGGTACAGTGTACCCTCCAATTGGAGACCCCTCTAATTTGAGCCCACTTTTGCGAAGACTCAAATAACAGTCTTCAATCTTTTAACACAAAGCTAGCCCTCTAATTGGAGACCATCCCAGAGACCACACCAAATTTTTAGGTCCCAAAGGTGGTCTCAAATTGCAGGGTAAACTGTACTCTGTTCAATTCCATCTCTGTTGATGTTTAAAATTTTTGTAGAATCTAAAATATATTTCTGTTTCCAGGTGGACTTCCAATGCAAAATGATTTGAACCCTGAAAATCCCTTAGGATCATCTGGCAAACTAATGGTTGCCTTTGCTGTATTGATTAAAAATTTATGGAGTGGTAACCACAAATCAGTTGCTCCCAAGAAACTCAAGGTACTTTGAAATAAGAACTTATTTTCACTTTTCATATGTCATTTATTTTGCTCTCACTGGCTTCCCAAGGATTTGCATATTAAGTTCAAGATACTGTTCTTCACTTTCAAAGAAATTCTCTTTAAGCAACCTGCTTACATTCATGTAACACACATTAATGTTCCAAGATACACCCCTCAGATCATGGGATAGATTTTGATTTTGTTTCCAGTACAGCCTCCAGATCTATTGGACTCAGATCATGCTGTGTACAGATGAATGTTATATTCAAATGAAAATGTTTCCCTTTCAAATCAAATCAAACAATAAAATCAAAATGTTAAAATTTAAAAAGCCCAAAAAATAAAAGAAAGGGCAAGAAACATTGTAATAAGCAGGTTTGATTAAAAGAAAGGGCAATATCTGCAAAAAGACAAAAAGAAACAAACAAACACACATGCACACACACATGCACAACAAAAAACAAAAATGTACAGGGGAACAAAATAATGCAATAATAACAATATGAAGGTATTAATAAAAGAATCAATAATTTGATAAGAAATTTTTTTGCCTTTATGAGATATCCTGCATAGTTAGCAGGTTACACAGGAAATAAAGCGCTAATAATACTAGTACTTCCCTCAACCTGTTAACAAACCAGCTCAAGATTAAATTGTTTACAGTACTTCCTCATTACATTAATACATTCCACTTGTCAGTTTACAGTATCTGATTTACATTTATATTCTTAGATTCAGTTTAAGCAATTCATAAGGGCTGCTGCTGTGAATATCTTTCTTTAGGCGAGACATTTTTTTATTTCTTCTTTCGCATACTTATTTTTTTACAGATTATCGGAGGAGGGTGGAATAAAAATAAATATAAAATTTTGTTTTCTTATTTAGCAAATAGTTTTGTGTTTATTTAATTTCTCATTTTAAGATGAATTATGGCAATATATAACAAAAAACATTAATAACTTAAACTGAGCAATGTTGTTAATAAGCTGATGCATGATGGACTGCATTTTGTAGAGTAGTAGACAAGACAAGACCTTTTAAGTAAATCTTAACTTCTTTGTATTTGTTTATTTGTAGGCATTGGTGGCTGGCAAGGCCTCACAGTTCATGGGCTATGCTCAACATGATGCTCAGGAGTTCATGGCTTTCCTTCTAGATATTCTCCATGAGGTATAGTTTTTTTTTAATTGAAGTTTAGTCTTTGTTATTATTATTGTCCATACTATTTTTGTGGTTATTATTGTTGCTATAATTTTTGTTTATCATCATGGTTTTTTTTTATATTGCAGGATGTGAATCGAGTAAAGAAGAAGCCATACTTTGAGAATGTTGAAGGGACAAACCTCCCTGAGCAGGTAAGCAATTCAGGGGTGGTGCCAGGATTTGCCCAACGTGGGGCCGTGGTCCCCAACGAGGGGGCTGATTCCCCCGACGAGGGATCAGATTCTCCCGACGAAAGCAATGTGGGTGTGGTTAAGCTTCGATTAAAAGGTTTCGAAAGTGGTACAGGGGGCGAAGCCCTTGAAAATTTTAACAATTTAGGGGTTTCAAAGGCTTATTTAATGGATTTTAGCATCTACTAAAATGTAGAAAATACATACAATTTTTTTTTTCTCCTGCTGGCACCACCCCTGAAGCAATTAAAGCTTAATTAAATACTTCTTAGCTTAGTATTAAACAAGGAATATTAGGGGATATTAGAAAGATTTTGCAACCTTATGAAAATGATAATGAATATGTCATTTAGGCCAAAAAAAAATTTTTTTGTTTGCCCCCTCCAACCGTCCCTAACTCACTGAAAAAAATAGGGGCAGAAAAACAAAAAAACATTATTTCAGCTTTTTTCTTTACAAATTAAAAAAAAAATGGGATTGAATTTACCTCTTTTTTTTTGCCAGATGCCCTACAAATTAGTATAAAGTGTGATGTAAGATATTGCCATTCTAGGCCTCTGTCGATTATTTTTATTCTACCTGATGAATTTCTTTTCCACCCGCCCCTTTTTCTCAGTTTAAAAAAGAAGGGCAAACAAACATTTAATTTTTTTAGGCCTTATCATTGATACCTAAAGGCCAACTCAGACAGCATCGGCCGACGCAGCCCGACCCGATTTGTTGTCGCGTCGGGTCTGTGTGAGTTAAACGCAGACGCGATGGTGTGCGTCGGGGGCAGTCGCTTTGTAGAATATTAAACATGTTTAATATTTCTCACGACGGCTTAAGACTGTCCCCAACGATAAATTGGGTCGGGCTGTGTCGGCCGACACTGTCTGAGTTGGCCTTTAAGCATCCTTGACAGTCTTCTGTAAGAATATGATCTTTGATTCATGCAAAAAGCATGAACCATCTAAGTTGAGACATATGCTACTGTGGGGGAAGGGTTGTAAGCTTGCAAAAACAGTCTAATAAAAAACAAAGTACAAATATAAGGAAAGTAGCTGGCATAAAATTTTCAGACATTCATACAGAAAGATATGATTCTTGCTAGCTTTAATAAATTTTAAAACAATTGATAACACTTTTTTTAATTACTATTTTAAAATTTTGTTTTGTAGGTTCTTGCTGATGAAGCATGGAAAAGGCACAAAGCTAGAAATGATTCCGTCATTGTTGACCTTTTTCATGGGCAGTACAAATCAAAGCTTGTTTGTCCAGTTTGCAATAAGGTACTCATTGTAAATCTTTATAAACTACAGTTTGCCCTCCAAACCACCTAGGGACCTGAAAATTTGGGGAGGGGGTCCCTCTGGGTTTGGTCCCCAATTAGAGGGTTATCTTTGTGTTAGAATATAGAAGATTGTTATTATTAGGTTCTTTGAAACAGTTGTCTCAAATAAGAGGGATCTTGGAATTAGAAATTATTTAAAAATATACTTATGACAGAACATGGTAATGAGCTGTTTGGTACCCCTTTTACACTACTAGCAAAATCATGGACACACCCTAGAGTTTTGCAACACCCAGTTGTGAGATGTTAGTGTAAATGACAGAAAGTACAACTCAGGCTGACAAGCATTCTAGGTACAATAAGAGGGACAGATTCTGCTTTGGACAATTTGGGGACATACTGAAACTCGTCAGTGTAAACAGCACTGAAACACCTCTGGGTTGCACTGGACTAGGAGGGCCAGCCTATGTTGATATCTGTTTAGGCTTAATTGCTGTTCTAAATTTAACTTCTTTCACCTCTTTATTAAATTTTGAACAAAAAGAAAATCACCACCTATAATTATCATATTTTAATAAGGTTTCTCATGCGTTCACTTATACTAAGTCATCTATAATGGCAACTAATTTTTTTAATATGTACTTACGATAAATTTATTGTTTATAAGGTTTCAGAAACCTATGACCCATTCATGGAGTTAGTAGTACCACTTCCAAAGAAGAAGCAGATTTTCTCTGTCATATTTATGTCTCGAAACTATCAGAAGAAACCTGTTAGGGTAAGCTCGAATATTGATTGCTATTGATTAATTGATTGACTAATTGACTGATTGACTAATTTGTAATTGTATTTTACTTAATATCGACATATTTAATTTATTAGCATTTCTAAAGTTATGGGTGAAATTTTTTTTTTATGTTCATCATGTGCATGAAAATGTTAATGGCTAATATTGGTAGGATTTCTAAATGTGCACAATGCCTTCTTGTCTGGAAGATTGGGGGAGGGGAAGGGGGTAAAGGTAGGAGAATAACCCATAACTTGCAGTGTCATTGTGCTGAATTGCTTAAGGGCGTGGTCTGTGACTACCTAGCAGCCATAAAGAGGCGCTTTATGGTAGATATATGTTCACATCATTCCGCAACGACAGGGGCTGAAATGAACCATAACATTGGAGTAACCCCCTCCGAAAGATGCAATGGGTTCACGTGCCAGATGTATATACACAGGACCTCCATTTGAAGTCCTTATCCAAAAGACTTGGTTCTACCAACCTAACCATAGGCAAGGAGCGGCTGGAACCAGTGCCGATGTTAAGGTTGTAACTAGTGGCGCCCCTAACTTACCACTCAGCCACTCGACTCGCTTAATATGAGCTGCAACACAGAAACAACATAATCTGAGATTACAAACCTTTGCCCTGTTGCTCCATATCTAGGTACTGGAAAAATAATGGCCCATGGTCGATTCGCTCGAGTCGGCTCAGCCTAGAAACAGGAGGCCTAGCATCATAGGCCTCGCATGGCAAGCCCAGGATCCATTGATCAGGATCGAGATACATGTAACATTGTCAATATGTGAAAATATGAAGTAGATTGGTCCAGTAGATGAGTGTCCGGAATGACATACACACCACACACAGACAGACAGACACACAGACAGACAGACAGACCGACAGACAGACAGACAGACAAACACAGGTGCATGCTATTGCAATGCTATGCTATTGCAATGCCATGAAAACATGAAGTATACCATAGTGTAAAGAGACTGCTTATAAATGTACACTATTAGCTCTCTCAGATGAACAGAGAGGCTATTGCCATCTTGTTGTCGTTGATGGTGGTGGTGTAGCAGTGATGTTGAAAGTAAAGTTAGAAGTTGGAGACACATTTGTTGAGTAATGAATATAAATATTTCTAATGTCTGATATGCTTTTTTAACATCTGTTTATCTCTTTAGTACACGGTCAGTCTCCCAGAAGATGCATTAGTTCAAGACTTAAAGCAAACCATTGCAGACAAAACAGGACTTGATCCAACTTGTGTGAGCATACATTTATTTGTTTAATTTATATAAATCAAATGAAAAATTTAGGCATTGGCTGTTGGCTTAGAAACAAATCGAAATATGCATGCGCAAAGCCGTAACTAATGTACGTCGAGCATGTAAAATCTTGAAATTAACATACCCTGCAACGCAAGATGAATAAAGTATGACATCATCTATTAACATTAAGGTTAATGTCCTGCAGTAAAAACTACCTATTGTCCTAATACAATCCCTATTAGGCCCTGCTTAAATTTTATAAAATAGAATGTAATGTAATATAATGTAGTGGGATTTGGTATAGCACCTTATACTAATTATACCAAAGTCTCAATGCGCTTTTAAAATGATAAGGTGAAGAAAAGGCAACTCCTATTGTAACCAAAATACTATTAATGCAGAGTGAATAGAATAAAAATAATATATTTTTTCTCTTTTTCTGAATTGTGTTTTGTATTGAGGTCATTGGTCTTCATCTCTGAGATCCTCTTATCTCTTGCCAGGCAAATGTGCATCCTGTTCCTTTGTTTGAGTCACCTGCCTACGTAGGGACCCAGGAATGCACTTAAGTAGAGGCAGATGGTGACCCCTTTTATAGAGAACAAACAAATCATGAATCACAAATTAAGAAAATTGTTTGCAACTTTTGCAAGTAATTTGTACAATATTTTAACTCACAACATTCAGAATTACTAGTCTGGTCTCTTATAAAAAAAAACAGAAGTCAATAATACTCAGTGTAAAAAACAGGAACAGTACAGTACTGTAGTTTAAATGCGTACCAGATTGTTTGTTATATAATATTTAAAATTATAAAATCAGAAATATAAGAATTAAAGTAAGCTAAATGTATAGTTAGAGGACCGTCAAATATTATAGCCTGGGTTCCAGGCACTAATTTTGGGTTACTCACTCTTTATTGCACTTGGTGCGCGCCATACCTAATTTAATTGGCGTCCCATACTCAATTTCTTATTTTTTTCAGATTAGGGCCTGGGCAAACGATTTATGCGTACAATTTCCCACATCAAATTCGATGTGAAATATCATATGCATGACTGATATTGTAAATCACGTGATTGGCTTACTTCACGCATATTAATTAATCTTGGTAAATTTTCAAAATTGAAGATGCGGATGTCTCGACTAGGACAAGCTAACCAGCACCCTTCTGCCTACTTACTTGAATTAAAACAGTTAGTATATAGTTCTGGCCTGCTGAGAACGACTATGGACTGATAACCGTAGTAGGCTATACTTACAGAACCTTGCTCACTGCTAGCTGCTACAAAAATTTAGGCCTTTAGGGTAGATTATTGTTAAAAAGTTAGGCCTCTGTAAGTAAGAACTTAAAAATAGGCCAAGCCTCTACTAGGCTAGGCCTACTACTTCTGACTCCAGAGGCCTGAGCCATCCTCTTGGAAAGTTGTGTTGTTGTATTTGTAATGGTATGCCATCTAGTCTAAGCTTAATTGTTTTTGCCATTGCCAAAATTAGTCTTACTAGGGTCTATTCTAAATATTTTAGGTCCGTTTTATTAGGGAGGACTATTTTTAGTCATGCTTTAACTAGTCGACGCGAGTGACTCATTTTTGTGGCACCAAAAATATGAACATTTGATTGGTTGAAATTGTTTATTTCGGTCCGCCCATTTATCCAAATACGGAATATAAGATTATGTCATTCTTTTGGCATCTTGGTGCCTGCATTCAGTGTTTTACAAATTGCTTATTCCGTCTCTAAATTAACTTTTTCGTTGGTGGCGCTGTCCAGAATGAGAAAAATAATAAAAAATAAGAGACTTGGGGCAAGTCTACAAATATTAGTGATATATTAAAATCAGGTGTATATATTTCAATATTTGAAGCATGTTTAAGTTGCATTTTAAAGATAATCTTTGTTTAAATCACGGTATGTTTGAAAGTGCTAAATATCTATTGTACTACTATTTCACTTCTCCCTCAGGAGGTTTTATGGAAATAAATTAAATTAAAGCCTAGTTCAGACTAGGCGGATAAACCTGGCTCAACTCACAGGGTTTATCCACCTGCCAGTCTGAACTAGGTGGCTTATCTCAAGCCGCGCTATGTTCCTATAGTAACTAGGCCTGGCGCACCCCCGTGTAAAAATTTTGTTATGCCGGGCTTTAATCGTTGCGGGGTGTCTTGCATTGACTTTGGGTGACGAAATGACCAATCAGCATTCAATTACGTACACTGTGAGCGAGCGTACGTTTCGCGAGCAATGTTTTGAAACACGTTTCCTGGTTATGGTTCATTATTATGCAAATTCTTGCCTGGCTAAACCCGCTAGTCTGAACGCCCGGCAAAGTTAAGTTGGGTTTAACTTTGAGCCGGGCTTAACTCAAGCCTGGCTTATCTCCAAGTCTTAACGTAGCCTCTATGAATTTCTTTTTGTAGCTGCGTGTATTCAGAGAGAATGAAGGGAGCATTCACTACCGTTTTCGTGATGTGGACACCTTAAGCAAATACAGAGCGGATTATTTTTTTTATGTGTAAGTATGTGATTCTTGGCATTGCATTACACAAACTTGTAAATGGAATTTGCTTCTGATACCTTCTAATTCCTCTCTAATACTTTTCTAATCTTCTCTCTTTTAATTTGTTTCTATTCCTTTTCCATTCCCATCCATAATTCCGTACTTAATCCTTTCATTATTCACTTCCTAATTCTTTTCCAGTTTTATTCTTAATCCCTCTTCTGATTCTCTTTTTTTCCACCCTAGTGCTTTAGCCTTTTTCCAGTCCCATCTATAATTCACTCCCTAATTCTGTAATTTATTCCTCTAATCCTTTTCCAAACTTCCCTATTTCCCTCCCCAATTATGTCATCAATCTCTATAATTCTTTCTCAGTCAAACCCTTAATTCTGTCTCTAATCTTTCCTAGTCACATCTATAATTCCCTCAATCTCTCTTTAATTCCCCCCCTTTTTATCCCTTATCATTTTCTTCAATTCCAATTGCTAATTCTTCCCTAATCCCATCCTAATTTTATTTTGCCACAATAATCTTTAGAATAATCAAATTCTTGAAATGTTTATGCAATTTCATATTTTGTACTTTTATGTTTTACCACTTATGGCCTTGCACAGCCTTTATGAAAAACAGCCTTGGGTGATAAGTTTTTTCTGTGTTAAATTAGTTATTATTATTATTGTATTATAAGCTGGGGGCACATATCTACTGAATAAAAAATTATAACCTATTTTAAAATGTTAAATATTGTTTTGTATGTTCAAACAAGATAGTAAAAATTTCACAAACTGCTCTTTTCAGATGTATTGTTATGTATAGTAAAATAAATCGTCATTTATGGCAACACATTGTGCAGAATAGACCTTGACTGTATTGGTCTGTTTAACTCTTCAGTATAAGCATCCAAATATTATTGTTTTATCAATGAAACTATTGATGGATTGAAAGCAGACATTGTTAGAATTAAATGATACATTTGGTCAAAGTTTTGAAAACATGTTTCTTTGTTTTAAAATTAATAGTGTTGAGGTGTTATCTAAAGCAACAGCAGGTGAGAAAGTGGTAGAGATATCTGTTATCCAGGTAATTTAGAGTCTTTCATTATGACATTGATTGATAATGGTCATTAGCTATCTACTGTACAAGAACTTCACCCACACCATCAGTAACTTTTGTGTGCTATGCAGAGTTCCAGAGATATGAAGGGGTTTTTTTTGGTATAGATACCTTTGCTGACAGTTTTGTAAAAAGATGTTTATGTAGGGTAAAATTATGATACTTAACATGCAAAAAAAGTAATACATTTTTTCTCCCCAACCATGTTCTTTTGTGATGCTGCCTCAATTCCCATACCCCCCCCCCCTCTCTCTCCAGCATTCATCTTAATCATTGGAATTAGCATACCTATAGTTTTAACTTTCATATTCCTCTAATTTAGCCTATAATGTAGATCAGATTTAGGGAAAGATTTATTACTTACTTGATATGAAAATCGCAAATCTATAAAGGGGCCCATTACTTCTGTTGATATTATGTTTTGCTAACAAAAAAAATATGAAATAATTATTATATTGATGGAGTTTATAAAGTTCATTATGTTAGTTTATTACAAACTTAATATAAACTAATAACAATTTAATTTTTTTTTGCAATTTGTAGCGTCTATTAATGCCACCAATTCGTAATTACTGCTCAAGTTGCAAGAAAAAGTTTGAAGACAGCCGAAAACTGAAACGCTGTATGAAATGTTACAAAGTCTCGTATTGTGACCAGTAAGTGACCCCTTTCCAATGTGCCCTAGTTTATCTGACCATTGGGTTCCTATAATAACGCTCTAATCTGATAAAAATTGCGGATAATTCCAACAAAATTTTTCTACTATATTTACAAAATTCAAATTGCATTTTATCATGAGTTTTATAGTTTACACAAGAAAACTACTAATACAATTATAGTAATATGACATAAACAGGTTATTTTTATTCCTATTTCATAAGCGTTTTGCTTATTTAGAGGGACAGCGATAGTCCTCAGGGTTCTCGGTGATCAATCTGCTTAAGCTCTGCTAACCTTTGCCATACTTCCCATATTTCTACGAGTCATCTTTAGCTTTTGAAGTACTTAGTACAATACTGTACTACTCAGTGTAGTCAATCCCAAATATGATTTATTATTAAAAGTTTGCAAGATAGGAAATCAAAGAGAAGATATTTAATACAGAAACTCAGGAATGATCTGCTTAACTTACGGCAAATTCATAACAAAATATTCTTTTCTGAATGTTCTTGTGGTTCCATTTTTTTTTTTGTATTTTATATACTTTTTGTTTCAATGGCACTGGAATGCTTTTTTAGACATCCTTTTAGAAAAAAGGAGAAATGTGAGAAGTTAATGCTCAAATTTTGAGCTGACTCTAAATCATTGAATTTTAAAGCACTGTCCAGATTATCAAGTATGCCCATAATAATATAGTCATGATGTGCCTATATATAGTCAGGATGTACCCATATATGGTCATGATGTGCCTATATAGTCATGATGTACCCATATATGGTTATGATGTGCCCATATATAGTCATGATGTGCCTATATATAGTCATGATGTACCCATATATGGTCATAATGTGCCCATATATAGTCACGATGTGCCTATATATAGTCATGATGTGCCTATGATCATGATGTGCCCATATATAGTCATGATTTGCCCATATATAGTCATGATGTGCCCATATATAATCATGATGTGCCTATGATATGCCTATATATAGTCATGATATACCCATATATGGTCATGATGTGCCCATATATGGTCATGATGTGCCCATATATAGTCTTGATGTGCCTATATATACACTGTAGTCATGATGTGCCCATATATGACCATGATATGCCCATATATAGTCGTGATGTGCTTACTGTAAATTAAGCATGACACATGCTTTTGTTAAATAAAATTTCATGATGTGAACAGGGCCTAAAGCCATGTTCAAATATCATGTTCTTTAATTGGTGATAGATATCAGTGATCAGTTGTGAACAGAACTCTGATAATGTCTTCACTTTTAGAAATCCCTTTGTTCACTCTTGTCAATTATTTTGCCTCTCATTGATTCCCTAAACACTCATTGATCCATCCTGTGTCAATTTTTGTCATATTTTGCACATGTTTGGCAAGATATGTAATATATGAACTTGATCTGGAGTCTTTGGGGTACAGTGTGATTTAGAATACAGATAAAGTATTAAATAAAATTGATAAAGTGAAGATTATAAAAACATTTTACATTAAAATGTAGACAGAAGGAATATTACCAACTTGGCTGTCATAAACAATCATCTTCAAAAGAACATTACAGAATTTGACATTTACCATCACCTGTCAGGTCGTACTTGTCCTTTCTACTGTCACTAATAACTTAATCTTGCTGTGGTGGAGACATACCGTAACTGAATGAATTATATTTGTGTGAGCTTAACCAGAAAATACAATTTTTTGTTGGCTTGCACTTAATTCATTCTGCCCTACCTATTTTTGATTAGGTCTTCATCCTGATAATAACCATGATGTAGTTTGTAGATGATCTGTATAAACACATCATTTGATAGTGTGTAATTTATGTGAATGTAAAAGCAGTCAAATTATTTTTAACATTTTTTATATTCTGAAATTTGAAAAAAAATACCTCATTGGGCCTTTTAGCTGATTTGACCCAGGAAATACACATAATATTTTGGGACCCATAAAGTCCAGCACCCCTTCTGTACCCGATGAGATCTCATAGGTACACTGTAACTAGTTGGCCTACCATTATAAGAAGAGAATGGCTTACTAACACAGGTACAACAAGCCTTGCTTTTGAAGTGTCTGTGCAGAATTGTCCAGGTATCCACTTGAATAGAAATTTATCCGTGTAATTTATACTGACAGTTGTTTACTCAGCTCAATTTAGATTTAATAGTGTGGTTTCATAGGTTCATTTGTGGGTCAGCTGTTTTGGTCAAGTTTAATCCAACATGAAGCCTAACTATGGAGTAGTCAGTACCATCATAGAGGTATAAATGATATCATTCAGTTAGTATGAAGCAGCATTGTTAATGATCAATTTTGAACTACTAGTTACTTTTTGATGTTTTGAGGCTAAATTATATTTGTTGTTGTAACACTAGAGTTAGGACTGTTAATATAATTATTCAACTTCTTGTGCTTCGTAACCCCTGACAACAAAGTTTTAATTATTGCACAATCAGTTTTTTCTCTAAAAAAAGTTTTTTTATCTACCATTGTCAGTGGCTTGTGTGGATCTGTAGTATGGACAATAATTAGAGTTTGATTAATTGACTGAATATATATGTTTATCCTTTTATATTTTGAATACAATATTTACAACAAAAAAAAAATAATAATAATAATAATAACAGATGGTTGCCAGAAACAACATTAATAATTCCAAAATGTTTTGTTCGCCTCAATATTGTCATTGATTGCCAGAAATTGCAATTGTTCATAAAATTTCATAACTTTTCTAAATAATTTCAGATCATGTCAGAGGCAACACTGGAGCCTGCACAAGAATTCATGTGCACCAACAGCAGAGCCAGTAGGAGTCCCATTTATTATTAGTTTACCTGAATCAAAGGCTACCTACAGACGACTGGAGGAAATGATGGAAGGCTTTGCCAGGTAAATCTAATGCTGTGTCCACACTTGTCAAATTTAATATGTCAGATGTGTGTGATGTGCCCATATATGGGCATGATGATGTCATTATTACACCCAAATATGGGAATATCACATTTAATTGTCACAGAAAATTTGATAGTGTGGACAGAACTTAAAGAGATTTAACTTTCAAATTATTTATTTTAAAAAATTTGAAAAATTGACTGAAATATTTTGGTGATTATTCCACTATATTCTGACCAGTGATGCATCTTATGTCTTGGAGAGACTTCACCTGTTGTTGCCACTTATTATTTGTGTGCATGCTCAATACATGGTACTAGGCCCAGAAGTTGGTGGTGTTGTTAAATGCTACACAGTTAAAGTTACATTCAAGGCATTATGCAACAGCAAAGTACATACACAAAATATATTCAATGTTTTTATTGGCGTTAATAACTTTTGTTGTTGATGTCATTGATATCCAGTTGTCAAAGGTAAGACCTTTTATACCTTGTTTCGCCTTGTTTTTTTTTATAGATCGTGAGAGGGCAGAAAAAAATAAAAATACTTTTTTTTCTCCTTATTTAGCAAATGGTTTTTTTTATGAAATGGTTTTTTTTTTATGAAATTTCCATTATTTTGTGGCAGCGGGTACGCTAATTGGCCAAAAAAAAAATTTTTTTTATTTGAAATTATCATTATTGGCTGGCGGCAGTTTCACTAAACAAGGTATAAAAAAGTCTCTCCTAAAGATTATGGAAAGCAAATCCTAAAGTAAATATAAGGAATCATTTCTCATTGGATGTTTATAGGTATTCTGTTGATGTGTTTCAACCTCCTGTGCAGCCAGTAGCATCAGCTGGAATTACTACCCAGAAGGAGGAGGAAGTGGCACCTGCCAATCATCCTGACCGTCCCATTGATGGGAAAGATTATACCAAGGAATGTGATGAAACAGAGATGGAAGTTGATTCAAGTACGCCAACACTCACCGAGAACGCCACCAATCAAAAAGCTGGATCTAATACAGGTACGAAGATAAATACTGATGATAATGCATATATAATTATTATAAAAATAATAATAATAATTATGATATTGGCACCAGTAAAAGAGGTGACGTGCATATACGACTTGACGTGTATATACTTTCTATTTCCAGCGACCGTCACAGGTCAGATCAAATCTGAGACGAGAAGTTCACCGTTGTTTCACATCAAGCCTGTAGACAGACAGGGAAAGAGTCTACCCAAAACACCTAGATTAGAAGACAAAGGTACTGTAAGTTTAAATACTGTAAGACGTTGGTCAGTTTGGGCTTTTATACATTAGAATAAATTGATAGCTTGGTCATAAATAAATCAAAAAGTGATCAAGATTCATTTATTGACTTGTACTAATGTATATAAAAATGGAAATTTTTGTATACAATATGTTGAAATAGTCAGTGTTAAAAAGACATTAAGAATCATAGTAAAAATGATAAAAGAGGTCCTAATGTAAACATGACATGAAGGGCCCCAATGGAAATAAGTTTTTATATTTGAAAACATTCTTGGGTTACCTTAGGAATTAATGTCTTATCTGCTCTTTATTATTTATCTGTTCTTTAAATGTTTTGTGATTTTAATTCCTGAATGAAATGAAATGTGTTTAGCACTGCTTAGCCATTTTTTCCTTTTTATTAAAAAAAAAAATAGTGAATTAAACATCAGTTTTGTATCCTTTAACTAGGCCATGAACCTCTTAAGCTGCAAGATTTTGAACACTTAGCCATGGACTGGAGGAACAACGAGAAGATGGACCAGTATGTCATGGTGAAGTCTAAAGACCTGGAATATGATGAAGATGATTGCGATGTCAGCAAAGATTCAGTAACTACTTTGGAACACTGCATTGATCTGTTCACACGGCCAGAAAGACTATCTAAAGAGGAAGCCTGGTGAGTAGTGGGTATGAACAGTGGGTAGCGTTTCAGCAGTTACAACGGCCATTTTTTTTCACACAGCAAAGAGTAAAGATATTGAAACTTCTGTATAGAGCAAAAAAAGAGATTCATTGGACCTCTATCCAAAATTTCTGTGGCTACCACTACGCAAGATCTTTTTAACTGTATGTTATGTTGTTAGTTTTCTAGATGGGTAGTGCTATATTATTATTATTATTATTTGAAATGCATCTTTTCTGTAGGCTAATGACTATGAGTGTAGGAACAAGATCAATGTATAAAACAGATATGAACGTGACGCCCTCAGCAACACCATGCGGCGAGCATACTTACCACTGGCAGCCAACGTGTTAAAAATGTTTGGTTTATTTCTTAGGTACTGTCCCACTTGTAAAGAGCACAGAGAAGCTACAAAAGAAATGTCAATATGGCGTCTGCCATCAACACTCATCATACAATTGAAGAGGTTTTCTTTTAAGAATGCTTTGTGGAGAGATAAGATCACCAAGAAAGTTATCTATCCTGTCAGGTAAGCAGGCTCCTATCTAGGATCGCTTAAAGAGGTGTTTTCTATGAGAAGTAGATATCCAAGGGACACATTTTCACCTTGTTGGGGTCCAGGGGAAGAGCTTTTGTGCCTGGGGATGGGGAGAAAATTCTTCTGGAGCTGAGGAATTTTAGCATATAAATAATGAATTTCATGATTATATTTAAATACAATATTATTACTATTGGTAATTATTATTATACAATTATAATTATATTTACTATTTTTATGTTTTTATGCAGAATCGGTTTTTACATGTTTTTTAAATGATTTTATGTTTAGGAAACATTTTTCTCTTTAACAGGGGATTAGATTTAACTGACTATGTACATGGAGTTCACCACTCTGGGCCTACAGTCTATGACCTTTACGGTGTCATAAACCATCATGGAGGTCTACTGGGAGGTCATTACATGGCTCTTGCCAGGCTGCCAGCTGTTGAACATTGCAACAAGAATGAGATAGGTACAGTAAATCAATTTGTTTATGTTTCACTGTAATCAATACTAACTAAACATGATCAACTAGGACATGATTTAGAATGAGCAGTTATGTTGATTGAGACTTGCTTGTTGGTCGCTGTATTTTATTGAGAAGTTAAGCTGTGGTCCAATGGTGTAGATGCTCACCTTCTACTTTCAAGGTCTTGGGTTTCGATCCAGGCAAAACATTTTTTCTCACAACCTACAAGAATAGGCTTGGTACAGAGCATCATTCCATCAAACTATGTTTAAAGCGGTAACCCAAGCTAATCCTGAAAGGTCAGCTGATATTAAGGGGCCCTCGTAAATAAAGTAGTATTCTTTATAAACCAAGTTTAATTATTTTTTTTTACACCACCATGATCGTTGTTGTTTTATTAGTAATATTATTGTTATAAATTTTTTTTTTTTTATGTATAGTTATTTACTTAGTCTTTGTTATCACTCTTATTATGTTTTGTCTGCGTCAATAGCACCCAACTTTATTTAATTCTTTAGGCCACCACCCAAAGGAAAACTGCCATCATAAAAGGTTAAGAGAGGGCAGCCTTCCTATTCGATAGACAAACATTAAACAGATTTAGATATATCACTTTGAATATTAACATTTCTAAATAATAACATTATTTATTATTATAATTATGATTATCATTACCATTATCAGTATCATTCATTATTTCATTATTATTATTATTGTAATGATCGAATATTGATCTGACAAGAACTATTAAGCCTAGGTTAATGAAATCTCTATGTTTATACAAACTCATCACTAACCGGATAATATTGCCAAACTTCAGCAAGTGAGTGATCTAGACTTTGACACTCATCCAATATCTTGAATGACTGCCTGTGCATATGATCTCATTAGCAAAATCACCATGAAGGCACCTGTCCTTCCCCCAACTTTCCCCTGGGTGTCATGCCTGTCACTTAACTCACACACCCCCTTATCTCTATATGTCATCTTCCCCTTCTTTTTGATGCAGTGTACATATCACAGGTGACATTCCACTTTGTAAATGACCCAGATACATTTCCTCTATTCTCAAGTTTGACATTTTCATGCACTATTTCCTCTAATAGCCAGGTTTTCGTTGTATAGAAAGAGATGATCTTTGGTTATTCCATGTTCAGCTGATACCTTTTCTATTGATGGCTCTTTTATTAGAGGGAGAAGAAAGTTATTGTATGAGCTAGTTCAAGGCTCAAGTATTAGTCTTTTGCAAGGTGTACCAATGCAATATAAATGTGTGCTCTATGGATAGCCAATTGTTTGATTTTGGCATCACTTTTAAGTAAACTTTTAATTGTTTTATGCTTTAATTATCCTTATTTAACATTGTTTATGCATGGGGTTTGGTGGGGGAGTAGTGCAGCTAGCAAAGCCAGTCAGTTGGAGCTTTGTCACCACCCTTTATTTTAATATCTGTCTGTGTAGCTGAGGATGCGTTTCCGTCATAATGTCTCTGCTGTGTAACAGGCGTGCCTTCTCTTTAAAATATAAAAGAAATGCAAACGTTTGTTCATGACCATATCCAGAAATAGAATTATTGCAGTTATAATGTTAGCGTTGATACAGTCAAAAGAAAATCCCACTGGGATCTGTTGGTGGCTTCGTCTTACAATTGGATAATTGAAACACTTCACAATATAATTGATGGTCTCGGGTAGCTATTGGTTGTAATTGAATGTTAGAAAAGATCAGCACAAGTCCAGAAAAAGATATTTGTTTTGTCTGTTGTAACCACATCTGTTTACTCCTGTTAGGGCCATATACAACATATTGAATGATAAATCCAGATAAAAAGAGTATGAAATAGTGTAAAGTAATTGATAAAAAAAAACAAAACTCAATAAGTGTTTGTGACATATTTAAGCTCTGTCCACACTTTCAAATTTTGTTTGACAAAATCAAGTAACATGCCTAAATATGGTCATGATGACATCACATATTATAAGTGCATCATGACCATATATAGGCACATCATGACCATATATAGGCACTTCATGACTATATATAGGCACATCATGACTATATATGGGCACATCATGACCATATATAGGCACATCATGACCATATATAGCCACATCATGACTATATATGGGCACATCATGACTATATATAGGCACATCATGACCATATATAGGCACATCATGACCATATATAGGCACATCATGACCATATATAGGCACATCATGATCATATATAGGTACATCATGACTGTATATGGGCAAATCATGACTATATATTGGCATACAACAGTTTTTTGTCAAAGAAATTTTGATAGTGTGGACAGAGCTTTAGTCATATATTATTATTTTTTTTTTCCTAAATAATAGTTCATCTGTCTTTCAATGTTTCAGTATGCATTTTCTGTCTTCTTGGCTTTGGGAGCTTTATTAAATTGAATTGAATTATACATATCAAATCACCACACAAACTACAGAAGGAAATAAAATGAATGCTGCATTTCATGGGCACAAGCCACTCATTTAGATGAATCATATTGCCTTTTTCTAATTCCCATAGGAAAATATTTAAAAAAAAAGAATAGATTTTGCCAGCATACACAGATCAAAGTCTTCCGTATGAGTGCTCCTGAGACTAAACTAAATTGAAATGCATTGGATGATTTTTGTTATCCAACACTATTCCAAAAAACCTGTCCATGTACTTGATATAAACTGAATCCATGGACTGCAGACGTAAACCACCATTCTCTCAACCGATTTCTTACCAACAGTTCATTCTTCTATTTTCTCTTTCTGTTATTGGTCCCAGCATAATTGCTTTGCATATTTCCAATTTGTTCTTTAGTTTACATTTTGTCTCTGTTTGTGTCAAACATTTGTGTGGAGATTGTATAATTTCATGGCTTACGCATGCCACACTATAATGAATATTAATGGACATTTTTTTTAATGATTGTGCATAATTTGAAGCTTAATATTTCGCAATTTTTGAAAATAGAAATTTTATAGATTAATATATAATTTAAATTTTGGGTTTTTTTTTTTAGATTGGCGTCAGTTTGACGACAGTATTGTTCGAGCTGTGGATGAGAAGAGCGTGGTGATTCAGTCGGCATACCTGTTGTTCTATCGTCAACGTAAGCCGTACCAAAGCTTGATTCAGAACCCGATGATAGAGGTGGAAAGTGCACCTTTGACTAGGAAGGAAGGATCATTAGATTTTGTGACCGCAAGAAACGATTCAGAAAATGCAAGCACGAACAACAGTCTAGGTGGTACCAACATAAGTAGAGACAGTATCAGTATGTGTAGAGACTCAGATGACATGAACATAGATGAGATGAGGGATGAGGAGGAAGAGAAAAATACCGATATGGAAATTGTTGATTAATTGAGTCAAGAGGTCATGCAATCCTGTGGCACTGGTTGACATCTGAATTTATGTTTTCTTTAAAAGAAATATATAAGCAATATCAGTTTATTGTAAAAGTTGTTCATATCATTTTATATATTGGTTGAACCAATGAATTATGAAATTTAAATATTCTTGATTAATTGTTTGACTAATTGACTGAATATTATTATAAGGACAATACAGCATTTGTTATGCAAGAAAACATTTTTAAGTATTATGTACTATCACATATCAATTAAGTTTGAACTTAAAATGTGCATACTTTATTATAGGCTTGATGGGCTGATTATATTTGATTGACACAGGCCTATGGAGATGACCTGACCACTTCGGCCAAGTTATTACTCAGTAGCACCTGAGGAAATGAGATACTATACTTGGCTAGGGGAGTGGGTGAGTGAGAATTTCAGTTTCCCATTGACAAATTTCAAAATTTTTATGGTACTCTATTATAGAAAAATAACCCTAAAATATTTCATTGAGATCATTTTGAGGTCATAGTCTAAAAAGTCAGTGACATGCGGCAAAGATGATCTCCAGATTCCTTTAAAATGGACCTAATTGGTGGTTATGCCAAACTCAATGAAAGAAAAATAGCTACAGTACTCACAGTACTACTATACTATTATACTAATATCACTACTACTTTATTGTTAGCATACTTTAGGTTTTGAAGTTGTTTTCACTGGAAAATTCAGTGTTAGTGCGCCATCTTCGTCTGTCTGAGACTGGCGCGTAACAAATGTCCTCCATCATTGTATATACACTCTTTACATCTGAAGATATGGAAACGTGTGCGCAGCATGGTGCTGGGCGTTCAATTGAGAGGTCGTTGGTTCCTAACCAACGCTGGTCGCACTACTGGTGTCCTTTTGTAAGACGCTATGTTTGCCTCTCCACTCAAAATGTGTACCAGGTAGGAGGTGGATAATTTGGAATGAATTGTAGTATAAGTATTGATTACATGCATATCTAAGAATAATCCCCAGATAGCAGAAGAGGTTGTACATTGTGCAAGATTTTTTTTGTATTCAAAAATAAAAAATAAAATAAAAGGAAAATAAAATAAAATATAACCTCAAGTATATACTGACATTGACTTAATACATTTTTCATAAGAACAAATGTGCAATGTTTGTAGGGTGGTTATATGTGTGAACTGGGAATTTCATGTACAGTATATTGTAGTCTCTTGCATAAATAAGAATGAAAATGATTGTTGCCAAATCTCTTTCATGAGCTGGAATTGAACTTTCATCAATCAAACTGACCAATCGGATCAGGAGTCAGGAATACGCATATGTCCCACAAACACATGTTTATGCTATCTTTTAGTGGCACCTTAACAATATCTAAAAGGTGGGACTTTGCGGAAAGTCCATTATACCAAGTACACCTATTGTATTGTTTGAAAAGAAATGTAAGGAGTATATAACAAGTCTCTCCTTTTCATCGTATTCACTGTGTGTATGATAACATGGCAAATCTCGATTAAATGTTATTTATTGGTTTTATGAAATTTATTTAAAGTGTATTTTGTGCCAATGTTCCTCTGGTGCCAAAGGTACACGCTGTCCCAAAGGCAATTTTTAAAGTCAAACTCAAGAGGAAATTTTTGATATGTTTTTTCTCAAACAACTTTTTTCTGTCTTAGAAAAATCAGTTCTACAACATATCAGAATATTCTTTCTCTCTGGTGGCTGACTTTAAATGCATTCTCATTAGGGTCTTGACATCTGAAGCATTTGTACTTTTTATATTTAGGAGAAAAAATAAAGAAAACGAGAATCAAATTGGGTCCATTTAAACTTGGTGCCAATGTTAACAAGTCTATATTATGCGGAATGTTTGTTTACACATATGACTTGGTTTGGTACATTGTAATGATGCATTGTCTAGTTGAGTTTTACATATATTGTTACACAGAGATGTCTTTGGTAATGATACAGTAGGTGCTATATCAAGATAGATTCAACAAAGGCAAAAGTGAAGACACGTATGATTATGCAAAATCCAAAAAGAATACACAAAGCCTACAGCGACATGATTGGTTGAGTATAAACTTATAAAAAATGGATTGACATTTATTTTTTATGGTGCGCTGTTATCTGATAAATTAGACTAAATTAAAAAAATGTAAAATAGGTTTATATACTGTTAGAATACCTTTGCTATTGGGGGGTGGGTTTATATTTGCCGATTGCCTAAACGAAAAGTAAAGTGCTTTCCTAATTATAAAATTATATTGTATGCCAAGTTTAACTGACATGAAATATTGAATGATAAATTATTGCTTTGTTATGAACGCAAGTTAACAACAATGATGAATTATCGTCTGTAATTGATTCGCCTACTTTTATTAAATGGAGATTTCCTCGAAATGCCAATATTTGTGGTTTTGTTTTGGTCATTTTTGTTGGACCCAGTGCCAAAGTGTTGGTGTTGAGTATCCGATGTACGCTTCTGTTGATGGACGCATTATGACGGACCTGGAGAAATGTGTAGGCTAAATCATCATGAAACTTGCCCAGTTATTTAGTTTACTTTACTGTGATTTCGCTTTGAAAAAATAATGCTTAACCGATACACCAGAAATTTCTTTATCACTATCGTATCAATGAGAAAACTATCAAGTTCACGATTTTCTCCATGATAGAGTGTCTGCATTAAAGGCTATATATAGGTTTGTTGACATACTGAAGCTCAGTTGATGACTGTATAAGGCGGAGAGGTGTTTTATGTTACTAGAATGATGTACTCAGGGGCGGTGCCAGCGGATGTAGGGGAGGGAGAAACACTACAAATTTTCGAGGACATATATGTATTTTTTTACATTTTAGTAGACTTTAAAATCAATTAAATAAGACTTGGAAACCGCTAAATTGTCAAAATCTTTGGACCATTTTCGAAATATTTTGAGCGACGCCCACTTTGCTTTCGCCGGGGACATCGGACCCCCGTCGGGAAAATCATGGCGCCACCCCTGGATGTACTTGTCCAACGAAAACTACAAACACACGGAAAATTAATTATTATTAAACTTCTTGATTTTAAACATCAGTAGCGTATTATTAACTCCTTTGATGTTCCAGACTCAAGTCTATACCTTAAGTAATCCTGAAATAAATTGAATATTTTGAAGGGTTTACATATAAGAGGGGGGGGGGGGATTTCTCATCGGCTAATACACTGAACAAAATATTCAAAATAGTTTACCAAAAGTTGAGCAACATCAAGAGTATCTTGCAAAATTTCCTCACTTCATCCAAGCGGTTTGGAACGTTATGTAAAACCAAACCACAAGTTCTTTTGAAATAGTAAATTCTCGGTTTTTAATCTTCAGCAATAAAATACCTGAAAGAGAAACAGCTGATTTGTAATTCCCTTGCTGAGTAAAAGTGGACGACACAAGTCTTCGTCTAAAATTGAACGGAAATGACAACAATGTGTTTGAATCAAAAAATATAATTATCAGTTCCGTTATATATTTTTGCAGAAAGTGACCTCAATTGGCAAAACAAACTGCTGCCGTGCAGCTGTCGGATCCACTGTAGATAGGCTACTGCAGTCGTGACAGGCTATAGAAACGGACACGCCTGGGGGTAAACACGTGAAGTTGTTTGTTAATGCGTTAAACTGATAATTATTTATTTTCAACATAAGAACTCTTTTACCTAATATGTCAAATCTGAGTAAACTGAAACAACTGTTACGTAATTTAAAATTACGGTGAAGTGCGCGATTATTAGTTAAGCTACGTACTTGATTATGATGAGATGAAATTGGCAATAATAATTAATACAATGCCTACAGAGACCGCATCTAAGGCCCACTCTGCTTCTGGTAGTGAAGACAGGAGCAAATGGGAGTGATCAGGGGACGGTCAGAATCCTCCTTGAGGGGATCCAGCAGGAAAGCTCTTGGAGTGTTACAACAAATCCTCGTTGATTAATTAATTAATTAATTGAATGCATTATCTCCCCGACGGCGACTGCTACCCCTCCCACATATGGATGTAGAAATGATACAAGTTATTTAAAGTCTTGCAAATTTTATTCGAGAAGTATTATAAATAGGCCTACACTTTTAATACTTAAGTCATCTAAGTGTAGGTGTCACAAGGCACGTAAACTGGAACTGGACATTAAATAGAAAGTCACGTTATCCTATAGTCCTAATCTTATCTTAGCAAGCAGATTATTATTTCTGTAAAATGGTCTATGAAAATACAAAAAGCTGTATGGAAAATACAAATTTAAACTCTTTGGCTGTGATTTCCAAGAGCGTAACCTTGATATTGTAGTGTCGGAGGCATCAGTAAACCTGTGAAGGAAATTATTATAATCATAGATGATTGAGAAGCTACATCTGTTGTCTGAAGAATGACTTGGTGATTAACACTTTATCACATGGTGTGAACCTTGGAGGCGTTATAACCCTAGAAAAGAACAGTATCATAATTAGGCATATGCTATAGTATCATTAGCTAGATTGTCTCTTCAGGTGTTTGATCATTGTTTATCTGGGCTTCCTTGAAGTATGGTAGGTCTGGCCTTAATCGGATGTGAACACAGATATCAATTAACAGAACAACGTATTACTGACCTATACACGTGATATTCATGAGAAATCTTATGAAAAAGAATAAAACTGAATTTAAAATAGTTTGAAATTCGCATGCCTTATGTGCACACTTTATCATATTTCTAATTATGTATATATCAAGATTATATATCTTTTGTCATACTAATTGTATAAACATACAAAATAGGAATTCAACTTATGTATTTTCTTAATACTAATGTTTTTACCTGAGTTAAATTTGTTTAAAAAGATGAAATTTCATCTAACTCTTTCTAAACCCATCTATTTTGTTTTTGATTTAGTTTAAATATAGTGTTTTGGACGATACTATTAACCTCAACAAAAATAATAAATTCGGGGTATTTTAGAATACGCCTAGGCTTATTCAAAGTTAAAAGCTTAACATGAAAAGGATTATGAATTACAATGATTACAAACGATACTGTAGTACTCGGCCTATCTACATAAATCAACAATATACAGGTGAAATAAGTTTACAAACAAAGCCTATAATTTTAAATTATATAATAAAAATCGATCATCTTAAGCGAATCATCATTGGTGCTTTCATTCACATCCAATAGGCCTAATTGTAACTACTGTATAACTATATTCTAAATATGATCATTCCCTCCTCAAAAAAAATCGGCGTATTAGGCCTGATGCTCACGAGAAGAAATGTTACACGCGTCCCATGCGAGATAAAATTTAGCACGTGTCGCCTGTTACGTGGCGTCACTTGCAGCAAGGTAATTCAACAAAAGGACGCACATCTCGGGACATCAAAGGTTATAACTCTGGCATCGACATTCTAGGCGC